GCTGTGGCTGGAGGGAGTGGCGGGAAGGATGCAGGACCCCTTCAGCCAGGGCTGCTGGTGCTGTTCCCCAGGGGCTGGCCAGCACAGGCTGAGCAGCCTGGTTTGGACTCAGGCCAGCTTTAGTAGGGATGAATTTGCCTCCAGGGTTCTGACAGCAGGTTTGGGTGCCCTGTAGCTGTTTAAATCCCTCTGTGGCTCTGGCTAAGGGTTTTCTCCTCACCCTAGAGGTCATCTACAGAAAGGCCACCTCTGATCCAGACAGCTGTGCCTTGGGACTGCCTCATGACCAGCTCCTGCTGGCTCCTGTAAAAAGAACCTCTGCAGACACAAACCCAACCTCTTTGGCTTGGTGTTTGTTTGGGAGGCAGGCTCTTCCCAATGCACTTCAGCCATTTTTTTCTCAGAAGGCTGACCTTCAGTTGATGATCTACCCTATTATCAGATTTCAGCAATAAAAATAAATCCATTACCTTGGTATTGCTAGAGCCAGCTGTTGTGAATTCGAAGGGCTCATTGAGTTCAGCAGCTTTGTTCAGTTTATTTATTCCAGCTGACAAATCTCCTCTAATAATTAACTAATAATAAACTAATAATTGCCACTTCTGTCATCTTCCAGCCATTAAAGCTGGGCAGGCAGCACAGAGGCAGGCTCAGGAGCAAAGCTGTGATTCAGTCCTGCCCTTTTTACGAGCTGGAGTTTGTTTTCCATGTCTCACCTCGGGAGCTGCCCGAGCTGCCTGCATTTGTCATGACATTCCCAGGGTGGAGTTTCCAAGCCTGGTGGTCCTGCCCAGGTCCTGCCCAGGTCCTGCCCGCCCTGGCCAGGATCTGCCCTTGCTCAGGCAGGGCTGGGCAGTCTTCAAACAGGACGTGCCTCCACGTCCTCCCTTCTGGGGTGCCCGAGGGAGGGGTCGCTGATAACTGCACGTGGAAACTGCAGGTCCTTGCACCCCACTTTCGTAGGGCTGAGTCAGGAAAAGGGTGAATTAGACTTTCCAAGCCCAGAAAAAAACAGGCAGTGATAAGGTGTTTGCTTAGGGGAACAACAGTGGCAAATATGGGCCAGTTGTAGCTTTGCAAAACAGCTCTTGGTATTTTTAGCCAACAGTGCTCAACTTTAATTTAAACCCTTCTTCCGCTGTGGGGAGACTCAGGCTGTTAAAAATTCTGTCTTTTGTACTCTCAGGAGTGTATCCCATGTATTGGAAATAAACAAAAAGCCTTTTTTTAAAAACTAGGTTGATGGAAGAGCAAAACTGGACCCGAAGGTCAGTGTGAAAGCTGCCCCATCAAATTCCCCATGCAGAGGGGAGGAGGACACAGGGATTCATTGCCACTGGCTGCCAATAGTGTGTTTGAGTGAGGAATAAAACATATTTCTTAGGATTAGAGTGATTTTGGCTGGTTTTGGGGCAAGCAGTTGTTCCCTTCATCTCTGCAGTTCTGGTTGGGGATGGCTGGAGTGGGATCCTGGTTGGTGACTGAGTGGAAGAATAGTGGCAATTAACCATATTAGTAAAAGCCAATGAAAATATTGGAGTAGGGGTAATTTCAGACAAAAGGGGTTGCTGGCAGCGAGTATCTCTTTCAGAAGGGCTCTTCAGAAGGTTTTTCCCTGGGTTAAGCATGGCAAAAAGAACACAGCCCCATTTGGAAACTACCTCTGACTAAATGAAGCCTTGCTGTTCCTGTGTCAGGACTGCTAGCCTGGCACAGCTCCAGGAGAGCCAAGAGCTCTACTCTCATAAAATGATTAAATATGTATACTTTTCACTTAACCAGCAGGCAGGAAGCTTCTGCAGTCACAGTTTAGGATAGCCTTTCTCTTTTTTTTTTTTCCTTTTCTTTATAAGGAACCTCATCCAAATACTATCCATTAACAAGTAAATTAAGGTCTTAAAGTTGACGTATCCAAGAGTTAATTTTGCATGAAGTCAGCTCTTAAATATTTCCTTTATCAGGTGAAAACATTGCTACTTCTCTGTCTGGCACTGTGGATTTTTCCTCTTTAGTGGATCTGCTCAGCCTCATGGAAAAAATGATTGTTTCTTTGTCTTTGTAGCTCTCCATTCCTCTGTTAAAATAGGTGGGCTGATTCCAGTGCAGTTCAGAGGTTCCTCTTTGTGCCCACCAGAGCCCCCTTGCACGTTGCCTCATGCGTGTAGGTGGTGGAACAAAAAGGCTCCTGGTTCAAAGGTGTAGAGTGTCTCCACTGGAGATGCAAAGAGCACCTCCTCCAGTGGCCAGTCACACAGGGATGGGGTGCTGGTGGGTAGTGTTGTGGAGGTTGAGGGATGATTTTAGGTGTTTCAAGGTCTGAGGGACCCAAAGAGGGTTGATTTCCAGGAGGTGCTCTGCCTCTGCTGCTGGAGAATTGTAGATGGATTGGGCCTTTCCCACCAGGGAAGCAAAATTAGAGGTGCCACCACTCCTGGTGGATGTTTTTTGTGTTGGCATGTGTGTCCCTTCAGTAGGGGGCAGTGGGACACACACGTCACCCTCTTTGCCATGGTCCCATATCCAGGTTTTTTGGCACACGATGTGTTCTCTTTTCCACTTGCTGTGAAGGTAACCACGTGCTGATCTCCAGCAGCCCCACCAGCAGGGCTCAGTGAGCCACCCGACCCCGGGACATTATTTTCAGTGTCAGGATTTTGAGGCAGGAGGAAAGCAGAGGGCAAATCCTGGTTTTTCACCAAAATCCCACGACAGCAGCTGTGCCCTGAGCCTCCACCCTGCTGCTCCCACCCCGGGGCACACAAAGCTCACCCGCTCCATGATCCTTCTCTTTGCTCTTCCCTCATCTGCAGGCGAGCTCATCGGTGATGCCCGGCCCAGGGGAGAGCACCAGCCCTGAGAGCACCAACCTCAAGTATTCAGGTCAAGAGGGGCTGTACCCAGGGGTCAGCCTGAGCTCCACGGCCGAGGTGACGGCGTCGGTGAGGCAGGACCCGTGGTGTGCCCTGGCCCTGGCGTGACCAGGGGGCAGCTGGAGCCACGGCCCCCGTGGCAGCAAAGACCAACCCTCTGAAATTGTTCTCCTGCCTTGGTGGCAGAGGTGGTTTTTGGTTGTTTTTTTTGGCTTCCCAAAAGAGGCTCTGCTGATGCATCGGGTTCCTCGTCTATGCAAAGAACTATAGGGAAAGCAAACGCCCAGCAGGGGATAGCTAGCCAAGCCTTACACCCTCAGAAAAAGGAAAAAGCAAAAAAAAAAAGGGAAAAAAAGAAAAAAAGGAAAAAAAAAAAGAAGAGCTAAACGTAGACCTATTGATAGATTCCAGAAATCCATCCTTGATTCACCCAGCAGTGCTGCCTTTCTGATTGTATAGTTGTTTCCACTCTCTCGTCGCCTCCTCCCCCAAGAACTTGGTGGATGTCATCAGCGTTGAGGAGGGAGCAGCAGAGGCCACCAGAGACACCAGGAGATTTCCCAGCCAGTGGCAGGAGTCTGCTCGAGCCAGCACAGGCTCCTTGCACCAAACATCTGATATCTTCACCCCGTGGCTCCCCTCCTCCTGTGCCTCCATCCTCACCGTGCCTTTCTCTGCTCTCCAGAGCCCAGCTACGCCCCTGGAAGAAATCACAATATTTGGTACAAGCCTCACAAGGTCCAGCTGGTTAAGGAGATTTTGGGTTTGGGTGTTTTTTTTTTGTTGTTGTTGTTTAAAATATTTACTCACTTTTCAAGACTGCAATACAACTTTGAAAGTACACTGTGACTGAAGTTTCTGCAAGTCCATATTTGCTGGCTGAACTGTCTCGAGTCGGTCGAAATTTGTAAACAGGGTAGCAATCAGATATTTTTCTTCCATATATACAATAATTTTTTTTGTTTTTTTTTAAAGAAGTGCAATTTGCGTTGCAGCAATCAGTGTTAAATCATTTGCATACGATTTAACCACAGTTTTTATATGAATGAATGAATGTAAACATTTTAACTTAATGGTACGTAAATAATTTAAAAGAGAAACTTAACGAGGCATCCTTTGGCTTTTAGAGCAACAAAACCTCCAGCCACTTTCTGGGTTTCCAGTTGTTAAAGCAAGAACAAGCCTTCTCTCAGGAAAACTGCCCTAGCCATTTGCTCAGAAGTGTTGTACAACAATGCAAATACATCCCCAGTTTGGTGGGGGTAGCATTATTTTTTTGCCATTGAATAAGTATGTGCTGGAAAGAAACAAATCATGACTTTACTACCTAACTGATAACACGTGTAAATACTCCGTGAAGATATTTAGGCATCCTGAAAAGGTAGGATGCAATCTGTGTAGGGTGGCTGACACGCAGGGAGGTCGTTTTCCATTGGTTTCTAAGCAGGATGTCATTTGGAAGGTTGTTTCCTCAGAGCTTTACAAATAAAAGGGTATCATTTTGGGAGGTGTTTTATTTTTTTTCCCCCTGTGCCTTCTCCTTTGTCTCTAATTCAATTTCTCAGCTACACAAAAAGCTACAAAAATGTAGCTGATATGGGCAGCAGGTCTGGTGGCTGCAGGGAGGGTCTCCAGCTGAAATGCCTCCTCTGTCTAGGGAATTCTGCACTGTGGGGCTTTCCTGCAGCTCCCCTCACTTTGCTTTCTGGTGATATGTAAAGTCAGGGCCTCCAGCAGCCAACATGAGCCCCTTACAGGCTCAAAGTGGCCTTTTCTGATGGAAGCCAGGGGAATGTGTCTCGTGCTTTGTGAGGGTTGTCATGGTTTTATTTGGCCTTCACACCATAGCTAAGGGGTCTCACCCAGGTCCCCTGTGTGTGCCAATATCTGCCCATCACCCTCTGCAGATTTAACTGCTTTTAGGACCAACTGGGTGGCAGAGCTGGTTTGTGTCTGCTGGCATCCTCCAGTGGCCAAAGGGGAAGGGCAGCAAAAACGGAAGGTGTTGCTGCTGAAGAGAGAAGACAGTGAATTTTAGCTACTGAAGGGAGTGGAAAACCTTGTGCTGGCTCTGAGGACCAGTCCTCAGCATCACTTGGCTGATGGGAGCAAGACTTAGTGCCAAGGGTGATTTTCAGCCACACCAGCAGTCATGCTGGAGCAGGAAGCCTGGATGCCCAACCTCATCCCCACTGGCCCCTGGAGTGGCTACGACACATCTCTTGGCCTCTCTGAGCCAGACCTTCACTTGGGGAGAACTGGGATAGCTCCTGGGCCTCCAGTGGAGCTGTTCTGCACCAGCTGAGAATATCCCCCTTGTTTTTCCAACCCCAGCAATCGAGGCCACCTCCTTAAGCCAGAGGTGTTTTGAGGAGTGGGGGATGAATACTGCAGCACAGCTCTTGGAGTGGAACCTGGCAACAAGCCTCTCCTGGGGCTTGGGCTGCTCCAATCAGCCAGGACTGGGGACCTTTCACCCTTCCTGATGAGACCACCAGGCTTGGTGCTGGGCCACCTCAAGTCCTTGTTCCCTGGGGGTTGGCATAGCTGAGTACCCCAGCCCTGCCAGCCTTGGGGCAGTGTGGATTTGTCATTTACAGAAAGAAATCCCTAAGGGCAAAGTGAGCCATGCAGAGCAACATTGGGTTTGAAAAGCCCAAGGTGTGGAGAAGAGGGTGAATACCTTTCCTTTTGCAGTGTTTGTTGCCTAAAACTCCTTTTTCTGTGACTCTCCAGCGTTGACACTGAAAAGGATAAAAAGCTAAATTGTTTTGTTGCCAGGGATGAAGTTTGATGTGCCACTTCTGGAAAGCCTGGTGCAAAACTCCCTGCTGGGGATGGCAGAGCTGTTGGCATAAACCAGGAGGTTTTAGACCAGCGTGACCCAGTTTTGGGCTGCTGACCCAGCAGAAGAAGTCAGCTGTTTGCTGACACTCTTGCTGGTAGCCTGTGGAAGGCCACATTGCTTTGAAACCCTGCAGCCCAAATTAAGAGGGCTCCTGGGAGGCCCTGCTTCCTTTTCAGCATCACTTTAACCCAAGATCTGGCTTAGGGTGGATCCTGCAGATGATGTCTTGCAGGGGACATAAAAAGATGCCCCACGTGAACTCGGAGGCTGAAAATGCTCTTTCAGGCAGCATCAGGGGGTAAAAAAAATTGTAGGGAGGGTGTTTTCCATCATTTTTTATCAGCAAAACCATCAAGGATGAAATACTTTGCCTCCTCAGACCAGAAGCAGGGCTAAATCAGGTTTTCATCCCTCTGCAGGAGGCAGGGGGGGCACAGGACCACGTTGCCTTACCGTATAGATGCCAAGGAGCTCAAAGCCAGGCTCTGTGTTTTGGTTTCACATAGAAAAAGACTGTAAGAACAGCACCTCCCTATTCACCAAAACTGCTCTCCAAGTTTTGCTGGAGCTGCTGCTGTTCAATAAAATAAAGATTTCTTCTTTTTAAAAACAGCAAATAAGAAAACATTGCCTTTCAGTCCTGCTCTGTCTGCCCTGGGCTGTGCTCTGCTTCATCCAGCAGCAGCAGCACTGATCCTGATGGATGGCCTGGCCAGATGCTTTCCTCACTTATCCCTGTTTCTCTTCAGTGACAGGCTCTGGGATGGACTGAGAAAGAAGAAAGAAAGAGCTGGACCATGTATCCTGGTTACTAGTGAGGCTGAACGAGGTAGATTGACCCCAGATTGTCTCTCCAGCATCAGAATGAAGATTCAGAGCTGACATTTAGGGAGGAGGGGGGGAAGCATATGGTTATTTGTCATCTTAGCACCTTTTCTCCAGAAATAGCTGAAATTAAATAGCCAACAACTCAAGGCATCTGCTTCAGGCTCTCCCACCAAGCAATCCTAGCAGGCTCACATTTGCTTGGGTGGCCTCTCGAGAGCAGGTTGCTCCTGGCCACGTGTGTTACCCTGGGTTTCAGTCTTCCCTAGGTTTTGTTTTAGCAGTGGTCCCATCATCTTCACTCCTAATCATATTTTTTTTTTGTTCAAAGTGCTTGAAATGAGTCGAGATCCCTATTGTGGTCCTGAGTGGTGTTTGCCAGGGTGGCACAGGGGGTGCCTGCTGCTGTAGGACAAGTGCTGTGGGGGTGCAGGAGGGAATAAAGCAGCTGCTGGACTTGGGCTGGGGACCTGGATAAAGCAGGCTGAGTTAGCCTTGGACAGGTTGCCCAAAGTGAATAAGGAGCACCTGGCTGTTCCCAGAACTGCAGGTGGGGACCTGTTACCTGGGGATGGTCAGAGGGCAAGGACCTGGTGGGGAGCAGCAGGTTTGTTTGGGTTTTCTTGCTGCAAAGCTAGAGAGAGCCACGTCCCAGCCCTGTGGTATCATCATTTACTGTCTGTTCCTCAACAGAAATAATATTCCAAGAGAAGAAGGGATTTAGGAGGGACACCCTGTCCCTGTTACCACGAGTCTCAGCTGACCACAGCCTGCAGAAACCCAAAATGGATTTCACTCTTCCTGTGTGCCCACAGCTCCACATCTGCCTTATCCAGCTGTCCTGAACTTCATTCCTCACAGATCCTCCAGTTCCTAAATCTGTATACACTAGACATTCCAGGGTTGTGTCAAACACACTGAATTTGGTATTAAAATATAGGGCAAGGGTTGTTGCAGGGTGCTGTTGAGAAGGAAACTGAGGGCTTGAGGAGCAGTCTCAAGTGTCTTCTGCTCCACATGTTGCAAAAGGTCTTCATTACCTGTTTGTAATGTGTCTTAGAATCACTTCTTAATCTTTCTCTAAAGATATCTGATGGAAGTTGGTCTAATACATGAGAGGGGAGTGGGATTTAGGTGCCCAGGTGGACACACAGTCCACAAGAAGAGTTGTCAGAGCAATGTAGGAACTAAAAATGGTAATGTACTCCCTGAACAAATAAAGGCAAACACTCAGGAAAATACTGGGTAGGAGCAAGGAGGTCATTTTTGTTTGGGGTGCTTCATCCAGGCCTGGCATCCACATTGGAAAAGGATGTTGAAAAACTGATGAGGGTAGGGAGAAGATCTGGAGATGTTATTTAAGGACTGGGGAAAATGTCTGGTCTAGACAAATTTTAATACCACAGCCTGCTTAGAGTATCCAAAGGAAGACTGA